TGAAGCACACTGTCTTCCTTTTGGTGTAAGTCATACAGCGCTGATTATCCACATTTCATGCTTTATAGACTGATTTTTTGCATCTGTAAGATCAGTTGTTAGTATTTCCTTTAAAGAATGAAATTTTTTTATTTTTCTTGAAGATTTATCTGGTTCTATTTGAAAGATGGATTTATAGAGATGAGACAGAGAGAAAGATCTTCTATCCACTGGCTCCAAATGAACAGAAAGTTGGAACTGAGCCAATCCAAAGCCAGTAGCCAGGAGCTTCTTTTGTATTTCCCTTGCAGGTGCATAGTTCCAAGGCTTTGGGCCTTCCCCCACTGCTTTTTCAGGCTATAAGCAGGAAACTGAATGACAAGTGGAGCAGCTGGGACATGAACTGGCACCCATTCAGGATCCCAGCACTTGCAAGGCAAGGATTAGCCAACTGAGCCATTGCAGTGGGCCTAGAGAATGTCTTTCATGAAATGAAGACTTTTCCAGAGGTGCCTTTGAGTATTGGTTCAGTAGACTAATTCTGGTTGGATTCTGTAGTCTCTATAGTTTCCCCATACCTTTCTTTTTTAAATTTGTTATCATGGGCGGTAACACTGATAGTAATCTGGAGTGCTCCTGTGTCCCAGTGCAGTTGCTGAGATCCCTGTCACATCATTAGCCTTCTTCCAACGGAGGGTCTGGAGTCAGGAGCTTCTCAGGTCTTGGGAGCAGGCCCTGTTGGATTTGTAAATTAGTATGCTAACTGAAATAAATCAAATGCGGAATTCAAATATCACCTATTTTCCTTTTTTTTTTTTGTAGAATTTAGTATGTGAAACGTAAATGCCGTATTATTTGGTATATAGATACTGTCATCACTGAATACATAATAATTTTGCCTTCTTTACTCATTTTGTGATATTTGTCATTAATCTCACATTATGTAATATGAATATATGCACCCCCTTCTTTCAGGAAAAATAGTATGTGTATGCATGTAATATTTAGATATGAAGCAAATATGATAAAATGTTTTTTAAAATAAGCCTATTTATATATTACAGGAAATGTCCAAAAGTAAGGTAAAGGTTAATGCTGTAGGAAAGACAGGGAATTGTTGGAGTGGCACTCTATGGAATGAGATCTGAGCCCTAATGAAGTTATTGGGCTAATGTAGGAGTTCAGATAATTTCCAGAGACAGAATGGGAAAATCAGAGTATATAAGTGAGTACAAATTTTGATAGGTTGTTTTTTGGTGCCTTTCAGCTACCATAACAAAAATATTACAAATTGGATGTCTTTAAACAACAGAAAACTTGTTTTCCTTACCATGTCAAAGGCTGCAAAGTCCAGAGTCAAGGCACCCACATGGTCAGATATTAGCGAAGGCATGCTTCCTTCATAGACAAATATCTTCTCACTGAAACTACACATGACAGAAGGGACACACCACTCACGTAGCTCATTTTTGTAAAGGTGTTAATGCCATTCACCCCTGGATAAATGACAGCAACCATGAGAGCAATAGGAGACATGTCAGGGGCATGCGGAACTGAACTATTTTTCATGTTCTTAACCACCCCTGAATTACCCCTCAAACAACGGATTGCTTAGCCCGTGTGGTGTTTTCCCAACAGTAGCCTCTAGACCTCTGCTAATCACTGGTATTCATGTCCTTACTACCTTCGTAGAGGTACCAGTTCTCTTAGCTGAACTTCCTTGTTGATGAGAATCAAACTTGATGTTATTAGGTGAAAAGCATCAGTGAAGAAATTGCACTAAGTGACAGCCTTCCAGGTAATTGTGATTTTTAACTTGAAAATGACTTGCGAATTCACCTCACAACATCTATAGTCACATGCAAATTATATGCTAATTTAAATTGAGCTCAAGAAACTATTTGGTACAAGTGGCTCAGACATTTGATATTGTGGCTATTGCTTCACAAGTGTAGTGCACTATTTGTCATATATTAATATCTGATATATGCATGTAAGTTAAGTTTTGATAATACAAATGACATTTTCTCATTGATTTACATAATAGTTAATCATAATTGACAATAATAATGTTCTAAGTGATTAAACGAAGTTGTTAAAATAATGTTTAAATATATCAAAACTTCTGTTTAAAAAATTGAAACTGGCATTGGATTGTTTTAATGAGAAAAACTATTCTTGTACCATATAATTTTACAGAGAGAAAACCAGAGACAGTAAGAGATCTTCCATCTGCTGGCTCATTCCCCAGATGTTCACCAAGGCAAGAGATAAGCCGATTCAATGCTAGCAACTTAGAACTTCTTCTGGCTCTCCCACTTGTGTGGAGGGGCCCAAAGACTTGCACCATCATCTGCCTTTTTTGTTTAGATTTATTTATATATATATAATATATATTATGTAATATATATATATTCAAATTGGCTCAGCTGTAGCCATTGCAGCCACTTGGGGAGTCACTCAGTCGACGGAAGATCTTCTTCTCTGCCTCTCCTCCTCTCTGTATATCTGACTTTTCAATCAAATAAAAATAAATCTTTTTTAAAAAGTAAAGAAAATCAACTCAGTGGATTATGGATCCATATTTTGGCTTGATACCATCAAATTACTAGAGGAAAACATTCAGGAAATTAATTCTGCAAGACATGTCGAAAAAAATCCCAGAAGCACAGGCAACAAAAGTAAACATTGACAAATGGGACATCATGCTAAGCTTCTGCACAGCAAAGGTGATACTCAACAAAGTGAAGAGGCAACTGACACAATGGGAAAACATGTTTTCAAGTGATTTATCAAGTTTAGGATTAATATTAGGATCTATAAGGAGCTCTAAGATACTCAATAATGAAACCAACGATCCAGTGAAGAAGTGGGCAAAGGACAGAAACAATCAGTTTTCAAAAGCAGAAATATAAATAGCCAACAGACACTTAGGAAAAAAATTCAGGATAGCTAATCATTAGAAAAATGCAAATAAAAAATCTCAAGCAGGTTCTACCTCACCCCAGTTAGAATACTGTCATCCAAAAACAAAACAAAACAAAAGTAGCAATGCTGAAAATGATGTGGAGAAAAGGGTAACTTAAAATACAGCTGGTGAGATGTAAACCAGTAGAACTGTTGTTGGAGACTTCATGGAGATTTCTCAGCTCTGAAAACAGATCTATCATATGATCCAGCCATCCAACTCCCGGGAATTTACCCAGACGAAAGAAAGTCAGGGTAAAAAGTTGTCTGTGCCCCATGTTTATAACAACTCAACTCACAGTGGCTAAGATGTGGATTCAACCCAGATGCCCATCAGCTGGGGACTGGACAAAGAACACATAGTATATAAACATGAAATATTTCTCAGATGTTTAAAAAAATGAGTTTCTGTCTTGCAGCTGGAAACCATTATGCTTCACAAAATAAACCATTCCCCAAAAGACAAATATCAATGTTTTTTCTGATATGTAGTAGGTAATACAGAACAAACAAAAAAAATAGGGATTGGACAAGCATCTTCTGATTTGATTTTTGTTAGTAGCTCTTGTTTATACTCCCGTAAGACTATAGTGTTGTTGCATTTTCTTGAATAATATGATTAGTGGTTCATTTAATCTAAAATTATAGAGTGGATTGAAGTTGTGTTTTAGTGAAAATTAAAAAAAAAACAAAAGGAGGGTGATAAAATATATCTTAAAATTTAAAAAGACAAGAAGGGAAATTGAGGGTATCTTAGAATTGCACTTATAAAATACTCAAACTCTGTTCTTTTTATATTAATGAAAAATTTAAATAATAATGATCTTTATAGATGACTGACATATTAAACTTCACTGGCTATATTCTACATGTGCTCTGCCTTTAACCTGCAGTGATATTTCACAAATGGTTGCCTGGAAATTCATCTCATAATTTAGGACCTTAGGATGTAATAATATTAACAGACAACATTATCCTTACAGGATATTATTTCTAGATACATTTCTTCACTCTTACTGTTGTAAAAATGTGTTCATGTTACCTTTACTTTCACTGACAATGAGGGAATAAGTACATGGGAAATAACCATCCAACTAAACCCTTCATTGTTTGGAGCCACGTTTGTTTTTGATCAGCTTTCTTTAAGACTTTTATTTTTAACCTATGTAATTACTTTCATTAGAATCACAATAAAGAACTACTTTTGTACTTTTAATATCAGCTAAAGCTTTTTTCAGCACAGGGCACTTTAATGCCTACAGAATAGCTAGATTCCACAGTACTGAGATGACATTTAATGTCCATGCGTGAAACAGAGGAAGTCCATTATCCATTCTACCCCATACACTCAGTCAATATAAAACATATTGTCCTCAGATTTATTATGTCCTCTTTTAGATACTTCATACCACTTATAAAATATCTTAAAATGCTAATGTTAGTGTTAACATGTGGGAAATAATTCAGGTTACTTAAAATTCATGGATTTAATTTATTGCCTTTAAAAAAAGGAACTAGATAGTAAATTTAGTACAAGCTGTACTCATTTTATCTTCATGTGTCTGAAAAGATGGAGTTTTTAATTACTATGATCTTAGTGGTTCTAAGAAAGTTAAAACTTTGATGGAAAATGAGCTCACGTAATGAGGACATTGATTCAGGTGTACTTGGTGCAACAGTTCATTAACTATGTGCTAATTATGTATGATTACTCCTGAAAAGCCAGAGTGGCTTCATCTCTTACATTGCTTCATTAAACCATTAATTTTCTTGGAGGTAACTAATGCTGACATAATTCAGTTATCTTGGTCACCACAGATTTTTGTCATCCCATAATATCAAGAACATGAAATAAGTTAATACAAGGCGTTATAACTTATTCCTTGTGTGTTTTGACTTCATTCTTTAGGATTATTTAATACTATCTTATTGTTGTATTTTGCATTTAAATAATCTAACATGTAATTCATTGTAATTATTAATGTTTTAGTGTCAATTCAGTATATCCTGTGTAATAATCTCATTTATATATTTGAACTGCTTCTTACTGACAGTTCTTTGGCCCCTGGCTACTTGAAGCTGCTTCAGTTTATCCGGAATGTCATTTATGAGGAAGGATTTGATGGATCCAATCCTCAGGTATGGAGTACCATCATAGCCCTTTATTATCATTATATGTGACATTGTTTTCAAGCTCTCTGGGGATGGACCCAGAAACTCTCAGAATGATCAACAGTAAGCAAGCGGTTTTCAAGCACAGGTGACATAGAGAAGCAGAGGCAGACTTCCTTAGCTTGACTGTTACTGTGTATTTGGAGTTTCAGGTTAGTTTTCTGCATATGCACATCACATGTTATAGATGCATTGTCAACACTAGTTATTTTTCAGTTTCTAGGATTAATAAGGTACATTTTTTAAATTACTTTTAAATCTAAAATGCCACTTTTTTTCTAAATTTTTCATGTTTGTGTCACTCAGGTTTAAATTTGAATTACCTACATGTAAGAATTGTCTTAAGATTGTATTATTCTGAATTGTCTCATCAAATAAAAAATGCATTTTTGTTTACCAACTAAAAATATTTTGTAGCTTAGCTATTTCTGTGTAACTGATTTTTAAAACTTCTTCCAAATTTCCATTAATAAAGATGTTCCCATTAATTGTACTTAAAAATGAGGAAGTTTTGTTTCTAGATATCACACCTTTCAAAATTCTCAACAATTGATTGCTTTTTCCACTAAGATATTTATATTGCATTATATTATCTTGGCAAAAAAATATGTCCAGAGCACCACGCTTTCTAATTTGAGAAGAAACAAAAATCAAAGATTTTTTTTTTCATTATCACCTACATTTGCTTTTAATTCACAATTAAAAAAAATATTCTAAACTTTACTGCCATATTTAGGAATTTATCCATGATCAAATAAATAACTTTAAAGCCTGTTTTGTCATTAAACACCAAGTTCAAAATATATTTATGTACATGATTAAAGCACGCACACACATTCACTAATGGATGAATATTCAAGTATATCAGGTTTTTTTTTAATCACCTACAGCATTTAATGCAAACTCAGCTGGCTTACTGTTGCTCTGTTTGATCATAGCTGAGATTTATGGGTACCAAGTCTTCCCTTCAGTGTCAGCGCCTGTCTGGGGAGGTAAATTGGTCCCTGACAGACACTCTCCCCACTAGCCATAGTAACTATGGAAACAGGCATGTCATAACAACTCCCACATTACAGTGTGCAGAGCGGCTGCTCTGCAGGATGACACATCTTCTGTGAGCAGTACGTCTTATAAAAGGCAAGAAAGTCAAAGCGGGGCAAAAGAAATGGAAATGCATAAGCATACACACCTTAGGAATCCTAAATAAGTAAGCTGGTGATGGAATGGAATGCAATGTTTGTCATTTTCAAAAAATAACCCCTTTTTTCATAAAAACAGCTTAGTCCTCAGAAACAGGTTATATAACTATTGAGCTTTGTAAACATTTAAGAGGTGTAAGGTAGACACATAGATGATAAATAATAAGAATTTGCTAAAGTTTTAGTTAAAACATTCTAACAGGGTATTAACAATACTTCTGATCTTATTAGAAGTAAAATATGGTAAATGGTTTTCCGTATCTGTAACTTATAGATTGTGCTGTTAACTTAATTACTTAACCTATACATCTGGTTCAGGAATTTTAGATGAATTATGGAAGCCATAAAAATGCAACTGCCAGGTGTTTTTTTTTTTAAAAAAAAAAAAAGTTCTCCTGAGTCATGAGTCATCATAAAATTCTGACAATGAAATAAATCCCAGTTCTTGAAAAGGAAGCTCTATCCTATTTTCTCTTGCACATCCTTCAAATGAGTTCACTGGAGACAGCAGATCCCTCCAGACTCTTAGCCATAGAATACAATCTACCTTTCATGTCACAAGGGCAGTATGTAACAATAGTGAATAGCGAATAATAGGTCATCTGTAAAGATACTTGGGTAGAGAAAATTGCAAATTGCTTTTATAATTTTAATTGTTTTTAAGTTGTCATTTTCAAATATAATTATTCAAGTATAATATAATCAAAAGTAATCTGATCACTGAATTAGAATATGTTAAATTTTCTCAATGTATATTATAAAAATATTTACTTACTTTACTTTATTCTTTTTATAGTAATATGAAAGGTAATACAAAATTGAAAAGATTCATTGTGGTTCATAATACAGTTCTAAGAATATGATAATCCCTTCTTTTTTCCCTCCCTCTTTCCTTCCTTTGTATCATTTCTTTCTTTTTTAACTTTTCTTTCTCTTACTTTTCAAATAACATTTTAAATTTACATTATAGTCAAGGGCTTTTAATTTTTATTGTATCACACAGCATGCTCTTAGTCATATGGCCTGATGAAGGCTTATCTGTCACAAATGACACAGGAGATTTATAATGTAAGCTTTTTTTGATTGTCATCATATTCTTAAAATATAAATATATGCCTTATGTTGAAGCATTTTGTTCAAGTATATTTTAATGTGCCATTCACTTACCTCATTTAGATGTTGTACATTCATAGGTTAGATATGTGAATGCAGCAAATTAAACCAGGGCTTGGATGCTGACATCCCATGCTAGATTACTTGGGGTCAAGTCTCACCTGATCTGAACCGACTTTCTGCTAATATACCTGCAGGCAGCAGGAGCTGGCCCAAGTATTTGGGTCCTACCAAACATGGGAGTTCTGACTGAACATGCTGGCTTCTGTCTTCACCCAGACCCAACCTTTACCACTGCAAGCATTTGGAGGGTGAACCAGGGAACCAATTTCCATGTTCTCTCGGTCATTCTGCCTTTGAAATGAAAAAATAGATGCTTAAAAGTGCATTTTGCATTGACTCTGTGTTAGTGTTCCTTTCTGTCTGTAGGTGTATGCCAGCATATCTGTCATTTCACTAACTCTAGGTTTCTGATTTCTGTGCCCGGTATTTTAATTGTAAGCTGATAGCAGAAGCTTTTTTGATAAGCAGTAGTAAAATGATTAAGGCAGAGACATAAAGTCAGGACTATAGAACTAAGATAATAAGGGTTTCAGGAAAGGTACATAGTCAGTTATCCCTTGATATTGGGGGGTTGATCCAAGACCCCTCTGGGTCTCATGGATAGCAGCATCTGAAGATGGTCAAATTTCTTCCACAGAACAGAAAAGTACTGGGGTGAGTAAAAGCACAGCAGTTAAGAGACAACTTGGGATGCTTACACTCCTGATGGGGTGCCTAGAAGTGAATTAGGATTCACTTCTAATTCCAACTTACTGTTCATGTGAAAACTAAAAGGCAATAGATGAATGCAAAGATCCAACATGGTTCTCTGTCATTTATGGGAGGAGATTTGGGATGAATTCTAGACTCCTTGCTGGAGAGTGAACCAGCAGAAGATATTTTTCTGTCTCCATCCTTCTTTGTCTCTTTCTCTTTCAAATTAGAAAGAAAATTAATGATAAATTCTTTGCATATAACATATTCATATCATCTGCATGATTTAAGCTATCTCTACCTAAAATAGGCAATACATTACATAAAATCATTATACTTTATATAGTTTAGGAAATACTGCCAAGAAAACTAATTTGTAAATCTTCAGTACAGATGTAATTCTTAAATATTTTGTTTTGCACCTGATTGAATTCATAGCACCAACAAAGAATAGAACCAACTGTACATTACTTAGGCCACAGGATTTTTACTCTAAAAGCATAACAGAGTATTGCTTTATGAATTATAAAATTCTCTGAATATATGAAGGGATACAATGAGCAGGATAATAGGTAAAGAATGAGATCACCCAAAATGCAATGTAAACTAAGCACAATTTGAAAACCTGAAACATGATGATACAATCAAAGTAGTTCGTCCTGTTTTCTTTTTTTATTGTAGTAAAAGTACTGCTAGATGGCTTCCTGTTATATTCTACATTATGATTCTTGGTGATGCATAAAAATTATTTTATTTCTTCATTGGTGAAATGAAGTAGAATGATATGCCCGGGCATCAGTACAAAGCATTGTTTCTGGCAAATTAGTATGAAGTATCTATGACAAATGAGAAGTTATTCATCTCCTTATTACTTACAAGCTTAATAATTTTACCAGGTTTTTTGTTCTGTTATGTTTTCTTGTAAATATTTTAGTGTTTTATACATTTTCCTTACTTCCCTTAGTCAATAAATTCTGTGTTAAAAAGGAATATGCAAATTCAAATTTTAACTGTAATATCAGAAAAATAGATAATATGAATATTATGTTGAGTGACACAAGCTTATTTCACTGGTGATACTTCATGGCAATAGCAAATGATACATTTTCGTATCTTGTTTCTTTAGAAATCAGATCTCACATATCACATATTTTTTATCATTACTTTAAAGGAGAATTATTTTTAGCATTGAACCTCTAATACTGATTTTATAATTATTGGCATGAACCAGATTTTATTAACAACTCCTTTTTGTCCAGAAATTTTGATTGCTAATGAATGCATTTACAAACATTTGTCCATTTATAATAACCCAAGCAGTATAATATATTATAAATGTTTGTGTTTGCAAATATTTTTGACAGTCATCTAAGGACTGTTCAGTGTTTTAAAATATTCTTTTCACAAGAAATATGGGTCACTATTATGATGTTGATGTCAGAAAGCTCAAGTTATAAATGTCCACCAAGTAAATTTTATAAAAAGTGCTGGATTTAAATTAAAAACTAAAGGCAAGTGTAAGTATATGACCAAAAGTATGTCTTAAGAACATCTTAGACACAATGCATCAGGCACTAGATAGAACAGTAAATAAGAAGTACTGAGCAATGTGTAGCTTATTAAAACATAGAATTCTCTAATACCAACAATGAGTTTGCAACATTATATTTATCTTTTCCATTATTATTTGGGTTTTGTTGTGTTTTATTTGGCTACCTCAGTCATAATTCTTAGTCACTATTAAATTAGTCCCAATTTGTTTTATTTCTTTTAAAAAAAAAAAAGATTTATTTACTTTTATTGAAAAGTCAGATTTGCAGAGAGAAGGAAAGACAGAGAAAGATCTTTCATCCACTAATTCACTCTCCAGGTGGCCACAATGGCCAGAGCTGAGCCAGGAGCCTAGTGCTTCCTCCAGGTCTCCCACGCGAATGCAGGGTCCCAAGGCTTAGAGTTCTGCTGCTTTCCCAAGCCAAAAATAGGAAGTTGGATGGGGTGTGTAACAGCCAGGGTACAAACTGGCATGCCTATGGGAGACCGGTGCTTGTGAGGTGATGATTTAGCTATTGAGCTATCGTGCTGGGCCCTATTTTATTTCTTATTTTATTGAAGAGGCAGAGAAACAGGCAGAACAAGCTTCGTAAATTCCTGCAGTGACAGGCTGAGCCAGACCAAAGCCTAGAACTAGGAACCTAATCCACATCCTCTGGTTCACTAGAACCCAGTTACTTGAGCTGTCTCCCAGCTCCCAGGGTATGCATTAGCAAGAAGCTAGAGTCAGGACCCATTCCAGTAATCCCACTGTGGGACACAGCTTTCTTCATTGCTGCCCCAAACAGTTTTAAATGTCAAGCCTTGTGGGTAGCACCATGGCCAAGTAGGCTAAGCCTCCACTCATGGCACCAGCATGGCATGAGTACTGGTTCATGTCCTGGGTGCTCCACTTTAAGTTCAGCTCCCTGATCATAAAGCAGCAGAAGATGGTCAAAGTCCTTGGGCCGCTGCCCCTACTTAGAAGAATTGGAAGAAGTTCCTGGCTCCTGGCTCCTGACTTCAGATTGGCCCACTCCAGCCATTGTGGCCATTTAGGTAGTAAACCACTGGAAAGAATGTCTCTCTAACTCCTGTTTGTAATTCTGCTTTTCAAATAAAAATAACATAATAAAATAAATTTTTAAAAAACCTCAAGCTTGGTAAAAATGTTCAAATTTTGCAAAAATGCAATCATTCTGTTATTTTTATGCTCTTGCAAATTAAAATATTTTCTTTATATTACCATTTCATTTATAGTACTTAATTTTATATCTTATTATTTTCCTTATATTAATAATAAAAATAAGAATTGGCAGATTCAAGAGAGATGTCTTATGAATAACAACACCTTTTTTGTGTACCCGCCTCCCACTTTCCTTCACATAAACAGAAGAATATCTTACGACTAGGACTTCAGAGTGTTGGCTCGCCTTTATGGGGAGATGATATTTGCTGCACAGAAAACTGTGACAGCAGTCGCAGCCTTACCAAGTTCCTCTACATCCTCCGTGGCCTGCTGCGAACCTCTCTTTCAGCCTGTGTCATCACAATGCCAACACATCTTATCCAGGTAAGGATTTTGGAAAACTAAATTAAATTTAAAATGTTAAAGTTTAATTAACATTTTAAATTTAATTTAATTTTAACTAGTGGTGAAGTAATATGTTATGATTCTGATTTTCGTTTCCTGGATAACTAATGATGTTGCCCAGCTTTTCAGGTGGTTCTTCGCCACTTACATATCTTCTTATGTCTAAGTTGCTTGTTCGTTTTATACCTAGTGACCTCCTAAGGATCAGGTTGAAAGATTCTTTATTCATTTTAGTTAAGATTTTCAGCAACTTTCTTATAGTTCACAATTCAGTTTTTACTTTCCTATGTCTGTCTGAGAGCTGAACTTTTTAATCTTGATGAAATGTGTCCATTTTTTTGATGATTAGTAGTTTTTCTTCCTCTCTTTCCACTTTTGGCAATCTTTTCCTCTTCAAGGTTCTTTTCCCAAGTTTTCTTCTGAACATTCTATCACTCTGTCTTCTGTTAGTGGGTCAGTATATTCTCATTTGGTTTCTTTAGCTAACCTTCTAGTTATGTGCTAATGTATTTTACATTCATTCATTCTCTATTAGTAATACTGTTTATTAAAGTATTCATTGTTTGACTGAAATACATGATTTCATGTAATTTTATTTATTCAATACATGTAATTTCCACTAAGTCAGAGACAAATATTTAGGCTTTTCTTTCTGCGGCTTTATGATTGCAATATTTATTAAATATGGCAAATTTTTTTTTGGCACAGATCTGGGTTTTTTCTAGATGTTAAATAAAAGTTCATTAGAGGAATATTGACTCTTACTAAGAAAATTATTTCTAATGTCAAATTGTTGAAACTACTTGAAATTTCTGTTCTAATGTATACAGGCCTTTCAAAGTAATTATCTTTATTAAAATGTCATTTAGTTCCACTAGTTATATTGTATAGTATATTTCACTACTCACATGTAAAAGTTTAATATAAGAAGTAAATTTTGACTCCTTGGCCAGTAGAATTTACTTATAGTAATAAGAGGATAACTCATTTTTCACTCAAGCTTTATGCAGATTGTGCCTAAAAATAATTTACTAGTTTTATGAAGTTAAAATTGTAGGAATATCATGAAAACACCCTTTCTCTAATCATTTCAGACATTATACAGATGCTGAGATTGTAATTATTGTTATATCATGGTGTTAATGTGAAGTTCATACTTTAATGATACTTTAGTCTTAATAGGGTTCTTGATTTTGATAATAGATGAAATTGAGATAAATATACCAGATACTGCCATTACTCCAAGCATTTATGAGGTGCAAGCTACAGGCCAAAAATTTTATAATCCTTATATACTTGAATCTTTAGCACAGCTTTAGGAAATAGTTGGTTTTTATCTCTGTCTTCAAAAGGTCACCCAGTGACTAAAGGGCAGGCCCAGTGTTTTTCCCTAATTCAGAACTCCGTCTTCAACTGTTAGGGTTTATAGCTTCTCAGAGAACCACAAAACCCCTGCAAGACAACTATGTCAATTGCAAATGTTAGGTAAGTTAAATGATTCTCCAATGTCAAAATTCTTTTCTACATTTTAAAGCTGATGATCAGTTGCAGATCTGTTTCAGTCTAAAATCTAGAATTTTCCTATCTTACTATGCTACCTTCTTATGTGTATTGAATTATTAACATACTTTGATGACACTACCTTTCCATAGAAAAATAATAATACACATTAATATGGTTGTTTTTCGTAATTTTTTAAAAAGATTTGTTTATTTACTTAAAAGGCATAGTTTCAGAGAGAGAAGGGAATACAGAGAAAGATCTCCAGTCTACTGGTTCATTTCCCAAATAGCCACTGTGCTCGGAACTGAGCCAGTCTGAAGACAGAATCCAGAAATTTCTGGTCTCCCCCATGGGTGCAATGGCCCAAATGCTTCTGCTGTTTTCCTAGGCTTGTTAGCAGGGAGCTGGATTGGAAGAGGAGCAGCCAGTACTTGACCCAGTACAGGCAGCAGCTTTATGTGCTGCAGCACAATGCATGCCCTTATTCAGCATTTCTTAGAGGTGATGTTATCACTGTGAAATTTTTGACAATTTAGAACATGCAAGCTATTAAGCATCAAGATGCAAACAAATGAGGATGAAAGAAAATAATGTTACTACTTTACAGTAAACTTTACTCATTTTTGTTTTTTAAAAAAAGAAAGAAAATAATGTTTTCCTTTTTATAGTTCTAAATTTAAAAACTACAGATATGAAATGATATACATACATGATGATTTTTCAAATTTATTCCAAAGGAATCTCTACAAAAGAAAAAGTGAACAAAAAAGGCCAGAAAGGAGAGAACAAACCTTTTTTTTTATTACTTTTTAAAAATTATTATTAATTACATTGCATTTTAAACAGACATTTTGCAAGGGATTGTCTTTGTTATCTGGAGAAAAGTTGCCAACTCCAGTGTGGGTGGCTGTGACCGGGATTCCTCCAGCTCCTGTTTGAGGGACCAGCAGTGATACTGTCAGGTGTCGGCAGGAAAGCCTGTCTACACCCCTCATTGACTGCTGACTAAGTGATGAGGTGAACTGAATGTCTGAACATGAAAAATATTTTTCTTGATTTTTTTCTTTCATGATACAATTCCATAGGCACAGGGATTTCCTCTTCCACCCTCTCCATTTCCCCTTTTTCCTATTATTTTCCTCTGTATTATTACAGCACTATTATCCTTCAGCAACATAGTCCATCGTTCTACTATTTAAGTGTATCATGACATTGTAGGTAGAGACAATGGTAGAAAGTCCCACATCCTGTTGTCACGATGCATTTAACAGTTGCATTAAGGATCCATCTTTTGATCTGGAGTGGAGATGCATGCTGCACTGTATGTTCACTTCCTGGTATGGTAGTCTCCCTTGTACAGATCCTCTAGATGGATATATTTATCTATATAGATGTATGTTATCTATATTGATATATAGTTATCTATGTTGATCTTGTATTTTTCATGAATGTATCCTTATATCACAGGGAACATATGATATTTATCCTTTCGGAATTGGCTTATTTCACTGAGCCATTTTGTTGCAATGGTAGAATTTCATCCTAAAAAGTGGCTGACTAGTATTACATGTTGTAGCTATACCACAGCTTCATTATCCATCCCTCTTCTGACGGGCGTCTGGATTGTTTCCACATCTTCACTATTGTAGTTTTTGCTGCTTTAAATATACGAGTACAGGTCCCTTCTTTTTTTTTTTTTGCAAGTTTCATTTCCTTTGAATATATTCCCGGAAGTGGGATAACTGGGTCATATGGTAGATCAATTTTCAGTTGACTGAGCATTCTCCATACTTACTTGCATAGTGACACCACTAGCCTACACTTACACGAACAGTGAAGTAGGATTCCTTTCTCACCACATGCAGGTTGCTTAGTAGAGTTCTGAATGCAGACCAGTCTCGTTGGAGTCAGGTAGTCTCAACATAGTTTTGATTCTTATTTTCCTGTTAGCTAGAGAGCCTGAACATTTTTCCAGAAAAATATTTTAACACACGTTTATATACAGATATATTTATGACCTGTGTAAGTGAAGAAATACAGTTTCAATGTATGGTTTTTAATGTGTCAGTAAAGGAGAGGCCTCTGTGAAATGAAAGATAGCAGGGACAGACTTTGGTGATGACTGTGAAGATGCAGAGTGTGACCAAAAATTAAGGCATGCCTCCTCAAAACAGATAATGTCCTCTCTGAAAACATGTAAAACCTCCCAAGGTTTTCCCAGTTTTCATACTGTCTTGCCTAATCAACTTTCCTAAGTTTTCATAGTAGTCTTCTGGCCCTACTGTCAACAGACAAACAACTTGAATGGTCCCCTTGCTGTAAGCATGTTATCTTGCTATTTATCTATTCTTGTCAAGATGCCTAAGTGAAAATATAAAACTTAATAGTCTTTTTAAAAGCTGTCATAATATAAATAAGGACAGATTCTCTTTTGGCTAAGGAAAGATAACAAAAATTAGAAGCAGTATACTTTGATGTTAAATATGTATGAATACACAGACCCAGGGAACTATACATTTGTTTAATAAAAACTTAAGTAACAGTTGCTCTGGGCTACTTCTAGTCCTAAACTATTTACAAATATTAACTCACTTAATACTCATAATAGCCTTAAGTTGTTGGTAGTATCCTTATCTTTACCCAAGATCACAGAATTGTTGAATGGGGCAATTTAGGGTTAACCCATTCCCTTCCAGTTACCATTCTCTTAATACCAGCACTAGGCTGCATTTGCACTAGAAATACTAAAATGGAGTTAAAATTAAGAAACGCTGTGGGCCCAGCACAATGGCTCAGAGGCTAAATCTTTGTCTTCTATGCACCAGGATCCCATATGGTTGCTGGTTCTGGTTGTGTCACAGCTACTCCACTTCCCATTCAGCTCCCTGCTTGTAGCCTGGGAAAGCAGTAAAGAGTGCCCCCAAAGCCCTGGGACACTGTGTGAGAGACTCAGAAGAAGCTCCTGGTTCCTGGTTTTGGATCAACTCAGCTCTGGCCATTGCATCCAACTGGGGTGACCCAAAGCCTTGGGACCCTGCATCCATGTGTGAGAAACCCAGATAGGGGGTTCCCAGGCTTCGGATGGGTCTAGCTCCAGCTATTGCAGCCATTTGAGGAGTGAAGGAGTGTAATCTGCCTTTCCAATAAAAGTAAATACATCTTTTGGGGAAAAAAAAAAGACCACAAACAAGGTCCTTATCCCCATAGAGCTTTTCAACAGTGTAAAAGATAAGCTAGAACAAAAAAGTGCTATATGTAGACATGTGGATCATATGATGGTTTCTGACAGAAAATGGAAATGTAGTTTAATATCCCTGGGAGATTTGTTATACTGACATCCATTATAGAATAGTGACAGTTTTTGAACATGTAATTTTTAAAAATTACACTAGGCTTAAATATGTAAAATATCTTTGTCAAATGGTAAACCAACCAATTGGTATTCTTATTTGAGTTATTAGCATTCTGTCAGACTT